ACGGGCCGACGACACAAGACTCACAAGAAACATTGCAAACGAGCCCAGTCTCTGTCATCACTGTGCCGTGACAAGTCGCTCCATGCGAACAGTGGGTGCCTTGCGGGCAGGGAGATCACTTCAAGCTGTTGGACATCGAGGCAGGTGATGGTTTCTTTATCCGCAGCGGGGTACTGACTTACTGCAGGGGCCGCTAAGATATGCTCCAGGTTTTCCTGCCGGAAGACCTCAAGCTCCTGGAACAGCCAGACGGAGCGAACACGCTCGAGAATCCAATGTCTATGCAGATCCAATATGCTGAGTCCCAAGTCGAGCTGTTCCGAATTGCCTGCGAACACAAAAAGCAGCTCAGGTGTTCATTTGGATCAAATACTTGATCGTACAGGGTATCCAGAGCCGAGGCCTCAGGAGGTACTTCCGTGGAGACTTCAAGGACCAGGTACTGGTGTAGGGCGCAAGGCGCATGGTATTGAGTTTCGTGCCCACACCTGTAACACTGTAAGCTATCAACCCTAAAAGTAGGCTGAAGACATGCGGCCGAGTGAGACGGATGTAAAGCACGCACATTGACTTGACACTGCTCCACAGCTTCATGGAAAAGACTATGACGCGATAACAAAATCCGCACCAACAAGTTTTGGCTTCTGAGGTGGTTTGTTGGACGTCCCTGCGCCGATTCTGACGCGTGCCTACCAGGAGATTGGCGCTGGAATGGCTCAATTCCACAACGCGCAGATGATCTCCATGTGGCCCTTCCCCTTTCCCTACGCCCAGCTCAGCCTCTTCCTCTCAGTGCCTGGGCCCGGAGAGTTGTGCAGAGTTGGGGTTGTGATCGGGAGGTGTGGGGCTCGCAAGGTGCTTCACTTGTTTCTGAGCCCCATGATCATGATCAAGTACACAAGCAGTGTCTGGGCATCAGCCCTCCTGACCTACATCTCCATCGTGTGCGTGATGTCCCTGAACCTCAGTTCACTTGGCACATTTTGCTTCTTGAGTTGAAACAGGTTGGGCGCGGTCCGTGAATTGTCGCATTTTGAACGGCTTTTCCGACCTTAATTTGCTGTTCCGCCGGCTGGTGTCGCAATGATTCTGCACCGAGTGCTGCGACAGTACAGCCGCGGCCTGTCACGGAGTCATGAAGATGGCGATGGCAAAGCGGCTACAGCTGCGAGCGGAGTCCATGTCCGTTCTCGCGACGGGCGTGGCCGTGGCATGTCTCGGCTCCTGCTTCAGGCTGTGCAACTTAAGGGTACTCGTAGTGACTGGCAGTGTTTGACGTGAGACAAGCGCGGTCAAAGCACTCTCCGAGGAACATCATCGGGGTGGAGCTGGAGAATCCTTTTGGCGAGGACACGAACGATCTACCTGCAGCAGAGACTCACGAGCAATTCCGACGCCATATCCTGCTCCTCTCCGACCCCGGGGCATGGCAGGTTCCCAGGACGAAGGATACTATGAGCTATGGCTTCGAGGAATTGCGGAACGCATCCGGTCGGCGGGTGAGCTTGAAGCAGCACCTCCACAGCACTGGCAATCTGGATTCGCACGGGCACCACGGCCCGGACCTGGCGAAGGACATGAAGGCCACGGACACTGCGGGCGCAGCGAACGGGCCAGGGCCGCAGAATCCGCAAACAAGTCCAAAAAGCCACGGCCCCGGCCACGAGCCCGGCGTGCAGAGCCATCACGGAGGTGAGCACTTTTTTGCGGACCCAAAGCAGGTCGAGATTCTGGAGCGCTGGCTCAGCAGACAATCTTCGATGTTAGAAAGCTTCCTGACAAAGCAGCAGGCCCTCATGGAACAGATGCTCAGGTTCCGCAATGTTGAGGCCAGAGCTTGGCAAACCACCAATCAGATCTGCTCCGAAGTCCTTTCCCCTGCAGGTGAAGGCTTCGAGCGGGCCCTCGGTCTTCACTCCCGAGGGCTGCTGCTCCATCAGCGCGATGCGACCGAGGCCAGGAAGTGGGGAAGAACTCTGAGGCCTTGCAATGGCCTTGCCTCTGCCTCTGACGCTGAGGCCTTTGGTTTGAAACCCGGTGACCATCCGGACGGGGCCTCGCAGGCTGCCGCTGCGCCCGAGGCCAGGTTTTCCTAGCGAGAAGCGACATGATGGGCACTTGTACGAGAGCGTCAGCTCTTCTTCAACTCTGTATCCCTAAAGCCTATAGACCATGCCCCGGATTGCATCGGGAAACTTAAAGAAGATTTTGACTTGCGCCCAGGCATCCATGTGCACTCATTCATGTTTGTGTGTGTGATTGTCTCTGCGGCTATCCTGATGACTAAGATTGGTGTTCATCATCATCGTTGTGATTGTTGCTTGCTATCATTGACGTTTTGATTATCATGGCTGTGATTACTGCGGTTACTGCTATTAGGATTCTTATTATGATCATTGTCGTTGCTGCCAATCTAATCTACTAGATAGGTGTTGCGTGTTGTGCTTTGGTATTTGCATGTAATCCATGCACATTGAGGTACTCGCCATGAGCTTGCCCAGCGAAACGTGATTGTCCGTTGACATCGTCTTTCTCGCGATCCATGCAGACATAGGTAATTGGGACGAGATTTCGTTCCAATCCCAGCTTCCAAACGGAGCCGTTTCACCACATCTTCGCCCCGATACAGCTGAAGGCTTCGCAAAAGTCCTTCGGACTGGGTATTGCAGTTCTGCACTCATGAATGGGACACGGGACAGGGTGCTTGACCACAAGGTGTATGTTCCAGACGAGATTAAGGCGCTCCCAGCAGAGGCACTTCGGAGCCCTCCTAACACAAAGCCGGAGCAGGTTTCCCAAGTTTTTTGCGTCCTGAGGCTCCGATCTTGAAGAGCCGCCGGCTGCGGGACAGGGCTGTGTGAGCGATCTTGCTTGCGGCGGTTGCGACGAGGTGCCAAGCCGTGAGAGCCCATTTGAGCTATTCTGTGCAGGATCCCGATGGAGAGCTGTTGCTGCCGCTGAAGACCGCTAAGAAAGGCAAGGCAAAGAAGAAAGCTGTCGGGCGGCAGCCTCGGACCAGGGCATGGCAGGGCAGCGCAGGGCACGGTTAGCACGGTTGTGTCACTCTGGGCGACCGTAGAACCTTGCGCAATTGACGAAGGTTCAATACTCCGCGTACGAAGAAGTGACCTGACTGGCTTTGCCATGTGCATTCGAGCTTCAAGAGCAAGGAAAATGTGAGGGCCACCGAGATCACAGATCGCGAAATCAGCCTTCTCTGTTTCAAAGCATGGCATGAGCCGGCTTGAGAGACTGCCGCGATCCGAATGGCTTCAGCGGAGGTTTGGAGGAGCCAGGGAAAGGACCATCGGAGCTTCACTGCAGCTAGCGAGACAAGTAGCGAAGTTGCAAGTACCTGCTAGCATCCGCCAATACCTGCAAGCTGGAAAGTGACAGACACTAGCCAGGTTTTTTGGGAACTGTCCTTCCCCCGGCAACTCGGTAGCCATCGGGAGACCGTAGAATCTGGTGGGTGAGAAGGGCGCCATGTACAGCTTGCCAATGACGGCTGTCGCTGGTAACCAGCAGCTGCATTGACTGGGCGGGGGCTCCCAAATCCCACATCATGCACCATCATAAATTGCTGGCTTTGTACTGAGCTCCCAATCGAAAGCCTTCCGCGTGGTTGTTTCAGGCTTCGCGTGATGCCCTTGAAGAAGCACATCAGGCGCCCCCTTTCTCTATCGTTTAAATCGCACTAAAACTCAAATTGATGGAAGCTCCAGGCCCGGCAAGATTGAAGCCAGCCCTGATGGCGATGCCTTGGTCGTCCATTTCACCTCCGAGATCACCCACTTGGATGAGGACCCTGCAAATCTGAGTTTTCACGCATTGCTCAGGGAGTCATGATGCCATGGCAAATGCAGGATGGCATGCCCATCAATGCCACACCGCCAAGTCTTATGAACTTCAGGCTTCAGCCGGGCCGGCCCCGCGCCGTGCGCCGGCGGACCCAATGCCAGGTGGAGAAGATGCCAGACAAGCGCGAGGTGCCTATTGGCGAAGCCATGCGAGGCACGCCGGCCTCGTCATCATTGCCCACGGAGCAGTGACGAGCTGCATGTACTGTGGAGGTCTCCGTGAAGAGGATCTACCTGCGCTGGCACAGGAGATTGTCGAGAAGCGACTTGACTAAACTCTGGCCATGCTTTGTCTCTGGCTATCAAAGTTCGGATGAATATGGTTCCCGGAGTCAATTGCAACAGCAGCACAACTGAGGTGTCGCTACATCCCTGAAAGCAAGACTTCGCAAGTGACGAAGGCTTCTGCACAGTTCCCGCATGATGGCGTCATGTGTGATGTACCGTCCAGGAATGCTGCACAAGGATCATTACACTAGTGTTCAAGCTTGGGGGGGTCGTCTGCCAGATTCTCGATCTTCACGTTCATCAGAACTCTTGTCATTTGCACACTTTGGGGTCAAGCAGCTCGTTGCAAATCCTTGCGAGCTAGTTCTGCGACACGTGGCTGCGCGGTCCCCAGGAGAGTAAACGGATGTAAGCCCAATGTGACACAAGCACTGTCTTCTTCGTTCATGTGTGCTCGTAACGAGGTTATCAATCATGGCAGAGGTGCGCCAGACCGCCGGAGGAGCGTGCGCCTGCCTCTTTTCGTGAACCCAGCCATGCATGCAGTCGAGTGCTTCCGTGGTGTTTGGCCTTGCGGCAGACTCCTTCACCCAGATTCATGGCAGGTCCACCCTTTGCCTGGGCTTGACGGAGAAGGAAAGCACTCAAGTCCCTTGCCTCAGCTGATCCCAGCTCCGAGGCCAGAGAGTTCCGAAGAGTCCCACGGCCAAGGCCACTGCAGAAGCGAGTGCCTCCCGGTCGACGCTTCCTCCAGGACTCGAGCCGAGCCTTGCGTGTGCCATGCTGTGTGACACCAAGAAGTGTGTATGTGTGTGTGTGTGTGGCTGCTTAGGCGGCAAATCCACAATCTGCCTGGGCATGGACAGCATTCAACAAGTCCCGAAGCGCGAGACCCTGGCACCACCAGGCAAAGGCTCTCTGTGTCTTAATTCGCTTACCTAGCACTGGCTGCCAACATGCAAGGCGGCAAATCCACAATCTGCTTGGGAATGGAGACAGCCGCTGCCGCTCCGCTGTCATCCAACGCTTTCGCTTGTGGTGCGCACCAGAACTCCGGAAACGTGCTGACCGAGCGGCCCACGACAATGCTCTCAGCTCCACCCGGTGGCAAGGCCACTCTCTGTTTGGGAATGTACTCCCCCGACACGGAGCACTTCGAGCCAAAGCAGGCAAAGGATGGAGAAACTGAGACGAGCTCCCGGCCGCCTGCGGGGAAGAGCACCTTCTTGCGATCTACCGGGACCGAGACTGTCAACCTATCCACCCGCCCAGTCGGTGGAAAGGACCACATCGTCCTGGGCGCTGAGATTTTGGAGCTTCAAGACTCCGCAAATCGGGTTACGGCGGGTGGAAACAGCAGCATCTGCTTCGGGACGGACACCAGCCGCCGACTCAGTGCTCTTGCTTGAGCGCCGCAGAAACGCCAGTGGCACATGGCATGGCCCGCAGCCGCAGGTGAGTGGCGGGTCTCCTCCAAAGCCCTTGGACAGCCGCCAGCTTCCGCTTCCGCAGCTTCGGCTCCGGGCTCCGAGTCCGCTGAGGAGGCGCGGAAGAGCTACTTCGAGCCTTCCGCCTCCTCTCAGCTTCCTCTCAGCTTCTGCTTGCTGGTTTCACTGGCGCCCGCAGGAGAAGGACGCGCCGGCAGTGGCAGTCCCTGCGAACGAGATGGATCCTCTGGAGGTTGAGACGACAGTGATTTCGCATTTGGGAGCGCTCTCGAGTTTTCAGGCACCAGTGAGCGAAGATCAGCCTGAAAAGGGGGAGGCAGGAAAGATCGCCCAGACAGAGGAACAAAGCAGTGTCCTTTCTGCGCAGGCTCTCGCCCCAACTCCTGCGCGGGTCCCACCCGGAGGCGCCAGAGTCCGATGCTGTCCGCAGACGCAGAAACCAAGGGATCAAACCCACGCAGGGTTGGCCTCTGTGGTGCTGGGAACTGCCAGCGAGTGGAAGAGAGAGGACCTCCATTTTGCTGGCTTGCATGCTCGAGAGATGAGTCTCGGTAGAGGATCCTGACGCAAAGCTCGAGGTCAAGCACCTGAAGCAGGAACCATACTCCAGTTGCCGCCGTGCCTCCTGCTCCCCGTCCCTCGCAGAACACAGCTTGCCAGGATCTGCCCACGCCTGCACGCAGCATTCGTGCACCACCCGGTGGCGCAATGGGCCAAGACAGCCTCAAGCGCTCTAGAAACTGGCAGTCAGACGTGATGTCGCAGTAGAGATGGCGTTTCCTCCAGAAACCGGTTTTCTGATGACTGAGGCCGCCACCGTGCTCTTAGGCTGAGGCCACCTGTAATTTCAGCCGCCTCGTGAAACATGCAGGAGTAATTCGGCAGCGCCGCTTTCCCTGTTTTTTGGCACTGGGATCGTCCTAACTGCAGCGTGGAAGCATGTAGGACCTATGTAGGAAACAGGAGTCTGTCCTCGGGACCGACAGGAGTGCTGAAACAAATTCATTCCAAATGGTGTGCGCGACTTCAAGTGCAGCTAGCACGAAGACCGGGAGAAAAGCCTGCGACTGCACCTTGAAATGTTGCTCTTGTGCTAAAGGTTCCAAAAGTTCCTCAAGCCGATATTTGGTGTTGTGTCTTGCAGCGGCAGGTGCTCAAGAAGCTTTACGGACTACAAACCTCAGATGCGCAAGAAGCTCAGACTGACCTGCACCCGCAACTTTGTCGCTGATTTCTGCCAAGCTGGAGGCCATTCAGCAAGGATTTCGGCGCAGGCGAAAATGAATCTGGCTTCAGCAAGCCTTTTCCTGCAGCTCGCAAGAGGTGCCACGCAGTCCTCCACGAATCGGACTTCCGGTGGCGACTCCGTGCTACCCGCGCAGCCCGCTGACTCAGAGCATCCCAGACTAAACCGGCCAAAAACGTTGAGCGTAATGTGCGCACAGGCTAGAGGACCTGCTGCCCAGTGCATCCGCGGCGACCCCGGCCGGTGAAAATTTCTTCTCCGTACCTATATTCCAACAAGAACTCACATCGCCAAAAGAACTGCGGCACCACATGGGCCGAATGGTGAAGAGCTCGCTGTCAGGTGATGTGGTTACCCGCTGCGAGGGCGAACTGTGTAGATCGAATTGGTGAATTCCGAGCTGAAGCTTAGGGGAAAGACAGGGAGAGGCAGGCGCCGGGTAGGCAAATCCTATGCAAACCTTGTCAAGGGATGGAGATACTCTGCCTGAGGTCCGAAACTTGGACGAATACGTAGAGGAGCTCTACGAGGAGCCCGACATCTCTTTATAGAAGAGCTGAGCAGACAAGAAAGCGAGAATGAGAAGAAGGGGAAAAAAGGAGAATTCTTGTCGGAAGCAGGAGCACATGGACATGAAGGTCCGAGGTGCTCAAAGGCTTCTCAGACTTTGCACGGAGGCTGTCACGCAGATCGCCAAGCAAAACACCTGGACTTCGGAGCAGTCTTGGCAGGTCCGCATCCTGGACCAGATGACGGAGCACCCCACTCTGCTAGGGGCATTCTCCCCGGAACTGAAATGGGGGAGTCCCCAAAAAAGCTCTCCTTGAGAGCTCTCGGCACTTGAGCGACTTGAGGTGCTGAGTCGGGAGCTTCGCGAAAATGCCAAACGCAGCTACGAGCTGGCTGTGGCCATCACAGGCTCGGAGCTGAGTGGAATAACATCCTTCGAACCTCATTCGTATGTAAATATTATGCAGTACCATATATTTACATCAAAAATAAAGCGAAGCATGTGTGTACTGTATACATATATGATTAATATGTAAAATGGCATGCACACACACACACAAATATTGCTCGCTGCGGTTTGCTCTCGGAGGCATCTTCCTAATCCTTGCGAACTTCTCCTGCTTCCACGTCGCCCTGAAGCGACACCAATGCGGGGAGGTGACCATGCGCGTTCTTGAGCCGCAGCCCTACAGGAAAGAAGAGAAGCCCAATCAGGGCCGAATAGGTACGGCATGGTAAGGCGGCAGGTGATTCCGGCATTTGCTAGCTTCCGCCCCGAGGTATGAGAGCAAGCGGCGCAATGTGATGAAGAACGAATTGGTGCAGACACAAGAGCAGATGGTCCGACTCCCAGCATCAGAGGAAAGGTGTTCGAGCCCCACTTTTGATCAGGCGAATTCGCAGCTGCCTGATGAGTCGGAGCCTGCAGCGAACCGAGCATTCCGGACTCATCCGAGCCAGAGCAAGCCAGGCGGACCCGACTACAGCGCACCCTCGGCAAATGTCGGGCGCGCCTTGAACGACAGGCGGCCAACAACACAACTCCCGTTCCCTCCATGCGTATACTACCCTGTCTGCCAGGACCACTTGCTGCAGATTTGCCTTTTGGTCCTCCGTGCAATGTCGGAGGACTGTCCACGGTCCCGTGCTCCCATGAGTTCGATGCCATGCTCTTGGTAACTTCCACTCGGCTGCAGGATACTGCTCAGGAGTTGAAATTTGTGAAGCAGAAGCTCTGCCAAATGCTGGTGCCGATGCTCGGCAGACAGCACGAGGACCAGACTGGAGTGCCCAAGGGCGTAGGTGAAGAGAAGTGGCGCCGGATTCGTGCAAATCAACCTCGAAGCGGTGCCTGGTGTTTTGCAGGATCTGCTCTTGAGCACTCTGAGCATGTTGCACAAGCTCACCATCTTCGAGCAGAACAAGGCTGCTGTTAGCTCCTATACTTGTAGGCTCTCCGCATTAGTCTTAGTTCCTTCTGAAAAGCGCATGCAGCATCCGATATCCAGAGATTGGTCTATATTTAGGGGGGCTCCGAACCTGTTTTCGTCAGGACCAGCTCTTGAAGGAGGAGGTCTTCCAGCGCTTGGCGGAGCTCCTGGGCCACCCGGCCAGCGAGGCGCGTGCGCATCAGCGCAAACGCAAAGCACCGCCTTGCAAGCTCCCTCCGGGCGGTTATAAAGATCCCATCTAAGAGTGTCGACTGAGAGAGGTCGCCTTCCTGGCGATGAGAGTGCCGGGATCTCTCTTTCAGTTTAGCGTGAGTCGACTCGGAGACCAACTGGAAGCTTCTTCGGCCGAGGTGTTACAACCTCTCCTTCGACTCCAAAGGTCGAGCCTTCCTCGTCAGCCAGCAGCGGACCCGGCAGAGCCCTGCGCACGAAGTCCGCACGCGACCCTCAGCTGCCGCGGCATGCCGTGGCTCAGGAGCAACGTGGTTGCCAGGCTGATGGCCGCAGCCATCACGCCACAAAGCGCGAAGCCACCCTTCAAAGCGGCCGGCGCCCCGGTAGAAGCAGTCAGCCTCTGCCGAAGCCCGTGCAGCCAGGTTTCCCTGAGGCTGCTCTACCACCTCACGCTGGATCCTGCGGCGAGGCGGGAGCCCATCTGCAGCCATCCTGACTCTGCAACTGAGTAACTCAACTGGAAGGTCGACCCTGACGAGTCGCCACCCGACCATCGCTTCCATGGCACTGCAGCTCGTGGTGCCTCAGCCGCTCTTCAGCCCCTGCTTGGTAAACCCTTTTTCAAAGTCCCAAAAACCTAGAGAGGGAGTCGAGGGAGCCGGATTTGTAGACCATTCCACAGGCACAGAGCAAGGAGAAGGCCCGGGCCTGGATTGCGCTGCAGTCAGCAGTCTGCTGCAGTGAGCAACAGGAGCCGGAGGCACTCGCTCTGCTTCTGAACCTCGCAGCGGATGAGGTGGGATGAAGTGATATATGTGGCCCCTGAACAGCGAAATATGGCGTGGCTTCAGGCGGCTGCCTGCTTGCTCTTGGCAGAGGAGGCCTTTGTGACGGTGGCGTTGCGGGGCATCAAGGGCAGCCAGGTCATCCTCAAGGCACAGGGCACACGGCAGCCTCCCTGGGCACTCGAGTCGCTGAGAGCGGCGTCGCTTCTCGCAGGTCTTGCGGCACATTGCTTCCCACCAAGCGAGCCGCTCCATCCTCCTTGACGTGATGGGCGGAGGCACTTTTCGCTGATCCGTGCACCAGCAGCAGCCAGCCCCGAAATGTTTCTCCAGACAAAGGTCCTGATGCCCCTGGCTCAAGCTCGGCTCTAAGACATGAGTCCTTACGATGGCAGTGGCTTTCTCTTCGCAGTCTTCACATCTCTTGAGCGGCTCTGTGCCAAGGCCACGCTTGGCTCTTGGAGGTGCACTTCTGCAGCCGCTGTGACAGAAAGTTCGATGAGAGTTCCCATCTCCGAACAGTTGGTGCGACTGGCGCAGAGCACAGCGGCCGACAGGCTCCGGGCCTCGGCGCCTCTGTCTCTGTGCCCTTGTTGCGCCAACCGAGCTTGAGCGTCTGTGGCAGTGCTGGAGGCACGACGTGCTCGTTGAAGCCTTGGGCATCCTCGCAGCCCTTGACTGCAGCAGCCCAGAGGCTGTCCAGGGGCTGTGTGTTTCTGTGACTGCTCTATCTGGTGGCCTTTGGTACGCTCTTCGAAGGTTCCCTGGCCTGAGCTTTGTGAAGCTGGCCTCCTCGAACTCTTACCAAGGCGAGCCAAGCATGGAGAAGCGTAGCCCAATTGACTGTATATAATCACTGTACTGTAGTCACGAACAGGCTCTTAATGGTCGGCTTCTCCGAGGACGATGTGGTCCTGGAGGTGTGAGAAGAGAAGGGCCCCAAGTAAGGGCACAGCCCACGAGACAGCGGCCGTCCATTGCAGCCAGGCCGTCATGCTGCTCAGCGTCTTGGCCCTGGATCCGCCCTCGGCGGCGCTGCTGGCGAACTCCAAGGTTCATGGGAAGGTATTTGCGCGTACTCATGTAGTCATCATACCATGTTAAGGATTGTGATACATCCTCGAGGTCATACACCTGTTGCCAGACGTGATGGCCGCCAAGACGAAGGATGCAGATCTCATGGTGCGCGACCGCCCATGGGCGACGACTCCTCCCGAATTTCTTCGGCTTTGCAGGTGCAGTCGAGCTTCTTGCTCCGTTGCCTCATCATGTCCGATGCGACGCGAGATGCCGGGGACCTCAGACTGAGTGGGAGATCCATGGCACAAGCAGCTGTCGCGAGGCAGTTCTGCAGACGGACGCCCCTGCGCGTGTTCTGGAGCTCTCAGCCGTCGAACCTGCAAAGTGTCAAGCACGACGACTTCTTTCTCCTGCAAGGAGCTTCTGCGGTCTCCAGAGCCTGCGGTGCAGGAGCCGTCCCCGAGATTTTCTGGGATCTCCTCCGTGTCCTGAGCGATGAGGATGCGGCACACGAGCTCTTGGAGATCATCGCCGCTGCCACGCCCTCGCATGCAACTTCCATTACCAAGCTTCCGCATGCGGAAGACCTGCCAAAAGCGTTCCAAGAGGCAGTTAGAAGGAGAGGCGAACTCGACTTGCGCGCTACAGGCCGAGGCACAGGCCGGGCGAGCGAGCCGATGGACCAAGCATCTCCAGGAGACGACTTCAGTAAGGGCTACTAGCCGCAAAGTGTGGCAGAGGGCACGGGTTGCTGGAGCACCTCCTTCCGTCGCCCCTGCAGAGGAGTACAAGTACAAAGTGCACAACAGCGAGCCGCAGCCCCGGAGAGGAAACGGAAAGCATGTGTCTTTCTCTTAAGAGGCTTGGAATCTGAGCACTTCCGAACTTCCGAAGCTGGCTTTTGAGAGAGGTGGCTGGATGCCGAGAGCGAGGCCAAGCCACGCCGCACTAAGGCCGCCGAGCTGTGTTGCAAGGGGCAGTTTGAAGAGGGAAACGAGGCACCTACTTCGACTCTGAAGGAGCCTGAGCACCGGTCGCCTTCGCGGGATCCGTCCAAGCGGAACGCTCTCACTGCGACTGCGGCGACCGCCACCGGAGGACAGACCTGAAATTATTTGTCACAAATGGAGCTCAAGCTCACTTCAAGAGTGTTGCACGTTAGACCCTCCTCCAGGCTGGGGCGAATCCAGCGACCTTGAAGACCGCCGGGAAGAGAAGCGAGGGAGAAAAAAACGTGTGAAGCCCCGGTCTCAGGGTCACGAAGACACAACATGACTGAATTCATTGCATCACCATCGGCCAAGCTTGCGAGCTGAGCAGTCACGTTCAGGTGATGGAACCTGGTGGGAGAAGATCCTTTGCTTCAGCTTCGGCCGCTTTGGTGCACGGGCGGGGGGGGGGGGTGCATACCTTGGCCAACATTTCCGAATTCCAAGGTCTAAGAGCAGGCTTTGAGTTTCTAGGATTGTACTTCGGGGGTGATTCTCCGAACTTCCCGGTTCGTCCAGGCCTTCTTGCGGAGGACCGGAGAAGGTGCACGCCGCATGCCGTATGCTGCAGGGGAAAGAAGAAATGTTGTTATTCCTACGATCTCAAGTCACTGCCGTGTTTCTTCAGGCTTCATCACGGAACACGGACATGATGGGTCGCAAATCCGAAAAAAGCTCACCTTGAAGCACGCCTAGTCGAAGAGCATCTGGGTGGTGTGATCCTGGGAATCGCATGCTTCCAGTTCACGGTGCTCACCTCCTCCAGCTATGCGAGTTGTGCTGTCAAGAGCGTCTGCTGACATGTGTCATGGCCGTGGATCAGTACCTACACCTGCTGCACATGACGCGTGCATCCTGTCTTGCGCCTGATGTTTGTGATGCTGGGCATAACGTGAAACCCGAACGTTCAACAGCCAAGCTGCAAGGAGTTACCCCTGTGGTAGCAAGCTTTCGCGGCCGAGGCGCATGATGCTGTGCTCGTACTCGCCAAGTTTTTCTCACCCTACAGTAGCAAGCAACGGGCCAAGCTACCAGTAATTCTTGCCGTATCGAAGCAAGCCTTTGCAGCTGATGCGCAATATGCTCGTGATGCTCGGCTGCAAACGCACCCAAGCAATCAAGGGGCTACGCAGCTCACACGCATAATGCTCGGCATGCTTCCCTGCCCGAAGCAGTGAACTACCGTGGCGCTGACAAGCAGTGAAGAACATTTAGGGAGTTTTCAGCAACAAGTAGCGTCTTTGTCTTGCTGTGTTTACTCCAAGCACCCGCAAGAGCTGCAAGTGCTCCTTGCGGATACTAGCTGATGCACACAGTGCTCGCGATGCTTGCCCACACATCCGAAAACGCACAAGAAAGTACAGATAAGCGGCAACTGCAGCCGATGCTCGTGATGTGCTCGCGCTCGTACCGGGGGCAGGTCAGACCAGTAGCAATTCTATCCGACCCGGCCGCTGCAGAAAGCACTTGCAGCTTGCTTCTGACATGTTCAAGTTAACATGATTATCGTGATGCGCAGTGCCTCTCGTCAGTGAGAGTATCGGAAACGTATGCTGTCTCCAGTTTCTGCCAGTGGGCACCGCCAAGGTGCACGAAGGACTTCAGAAGCGAAGTGGGGAGTTCTTTGGAAGGTGCGAGCTAGGTTTTTTCCTGGGAGTTCTGAAACAGATTTGCCCACTGACATGGAGCGAAAATACGCTTCAACGAATCGTTTCCTGCACAGCTGAGCAGCCACGCGATCTGTAACAGCGACCTACGTCTTCCTGTTTGACCTAATTACGACCAATGCAGAGATATGGAAAACCTGGCATTCAGCCATATGCTGCAATCGGCAGCATCCGGCTACGGTGGCAAAGTGCTCAACAGCTCACTTAAAGGTGACGTGCTCCGTAAACGTGTTCGGCCTGCATTGACTGCAAGGCTGGGTCAATTCATGCATGCCAGGCTCAACTGCTTGGCTTTCACGCTGTCCGCCAGCCTCCAGAGCAGCCACAGCTGCATCTTTTCTCAAAAAAAAAAAAAACAACACTGGAAAGCAGTCCTGATAGGTGTCTTGACAGCCTGGTGTAGATTGTGCCATGACGAGAGGCAGAAGCAGAAGCACGCAAAGCGTTTGGGTTTCTCTGTCGAGAGCCAGAACGATTCTGGTTGGCAGGTACTCGTACCTGGGAAGTGCTTGCCAGTCCTAACTGCTACAAGGCTCTGCCAGAGATGCCGCTGCAGTGCTCACACAGCATATGACCAATGCTAGCGAGACGGCACGACCTCGAATTCGTTGACAAAATCTCGCAAATGTGATCGAGCTAGTTTGCAGACAGCCTAAATTATCCACTCGTGGCTTGGAGCATTTCGGCTCGAACCTCTGACTAAAGCAACTGGCATAACGTAGCTGGCGCTGACACCAAACGGTTACAAGCTCGTCGCGCTGTGTGCTCCGAGTCTTACAGTAATATTCTCCCAAATGGCCGGCTTCTGCTAGTGACGATTATCAGATCAAGACCACTCTGACTGTCTACGACATACAAAGCTTCCGCCGTGCCCTCTGCCAATTAGGACAGGTGACTGTGCCTGTGGAAAACAGCACAGTGCCTTTTGACGGAGGTCCCGTTCGATGAGTTCTCAATGATCTTTGCAGATGTTGCTTCAACTTTGCAGATGCCCAAAGCACGGACGCCGGCGACGTCCTGGAAAAGCGGTGCCGACGGGACCCAAGACGAAGAGAGATGTTGGGTTCCGTTTGCAATCATCGTGATCCGATTCAAGGTTCCCAGGACAATCAGGCGCGATCTCTGAGCTCAAGATTGCTCTCGCCTGCAGATAGTTGCGTGGACGTTGGAAGGCGACCGTGGAGAGTCTTCGATGAGGAGATGGAGCATCGGCCCCGGAAGAGCCGAAAAAGCTTGTCGATTCTCTGTCCTCATGCCCAGGCAGCGCCTCTTGCAAGCGGAGACCACTTCAGGAAAGTTTCTATGCCGACGGCAGAAAGTCCCAAGTAATTTCTTTGTTGTACTACTGAAAGCCATTGTGCTCTTTGGGTTCAAGCTACGGGCACAGTGTCGTTGAGCAAGAAACCTACACCAGCAGAGCGGGCAGAGAAACTGTCGAAGCGTTGTGAAACAGGTTGAAATATGGAGCTTTCTCAGCTTTGAAGCATCGATTGGCCGTTCATGCATGTGGTGCAGATCAGCGCCGGCAAGGCACTGTACCACGGTGAACTCGAAACTGCTGCCGCCTCGATTCAAGCACAGGATGTCCGGAAGCGCTTCAGCACCCTGCTGCCACACCAGGACACGCGAGTCCGTGTCAACTCCCCTCCCGCGCAGCTAGGCGCTTTTTTGCTTCAGGCATCCCTGGCGAACCGCCGGCAAAGGCCGCGAGCTCTGCCAGGGACACATTTAAGGGCCAAGGTTCTCGGAGAAGCTGCAACTGAGGATCACCGCAGAGTCGCCTGGCCCTCGCTTCCTCTTCCTCTGAGCCTAACATCACGCATATAAGCCTTTTTGAGCCAGGCAGAGGCGTGCCTCCCAACGTTTGCAGCGCTTGCAGGCGGAGACGTACGGCGTAGGAGCTTCAAAGGTGCAGGTGCCCCTGCCACTGGTGACAGGTTCTAGTCCGGCTGCTGCCGGCTCCGGAGGCGGAGCTTGCGCCAAGCTGAGCATGAGCGCCATGCCGAGCTCTTGCATTCAGAATTGCCGAGGCTACGGCCTTTCTCCAATGGCGCGGCCAAGTTGCCAAGCACCGGCGATGTGATGCCGAGGATATGTGGCAGATCTGGCTGGTCCAGCTTTCGAACTCCTTGGAAGCCTGACCTGGAAGGACCTGGTTGCTACGACTCTGTTGCCCAGTACCCGGACATGTTCCACGCAGACAAACACACACAGTCTCACAGTTTTGTAAATGTATGTATAAATGTATGTGTGTATGTCTGTCACCACGATGTATAGCTACATATGTATATATGTATAGACAGATATTAACGGTAATAATGACAAAAGAATAGCAATGCGGATCTCTCTTTCTCTCGTGCTATCGCAGGGAATTAGGTAGACGGAGGCAAATGGCTTCGGATCCTTGACAGTGTGCTAAGGTTTGCAGCGTGGAAAGGATGTGTGCTGGCTGAGGTGTGCTATGCTGTTTGGGTTGGAGAGGCATCACTTGTTCTGTCTGCAGGTGCACACGAGGAGGGAACAGACCTCGGCGGAGGACTTCACTTCGCCTTGCTTGATCCTGCTTCAATATTTCCAACCATTGGACGCTGGCCTTCTCGTGACACTAAAAGGCAGTATTTCCGCAGAAGCATGCGATTGAGCCAGTACCACTGTCAACATTAAACATGAAGGGTGGCGGCTACTGTGGCACAGAGAGCACTTCTGAGTGGTGTTGGGTCTTCCGCTCATGGCTGTCCGCACTGGTCGCTGTTGGGCCGTGCTGCTGCTGCTGCTGCCGCTGCTCTGCGCTTTCCTGAACGGAGGGTTGCAGCTCTGCTCCTCCGCCCCCTCGGGCCTCCCGCCGCTTCCACGGCGAGCACTCGGAGCGCTGGGGGCGCTGGGCGCCCTCGGGGCGCGGGCCCCGCCGGGCAACGCGGCGACGTGGCTCCCGCGACCGGCATCCGGAGCCATCTCCGGTGGCGCGCTGCCCCTGACCATAGGAGCGACTGCAACAACACATTACTTTTCGTGATTCTTTGTGCTCGCGTTGGAGAGAATCTCGAGCCAGGACTTGGTACTTGCTTGGTCTCTGAGGGAGATGTGACCAGGCAAGTCCGCATGAGAAGGAGATTTGACCGACCGCCTGAGTGTCAGGCAGGTCTCCAGTGCTTTGGACACTGGCTACCGCGTCATCGACACAGCACAGAGGTATGGCAGCTGGGCTTCACTTCTTCAACCGTCTGAAGGGAGAGGGCCATCGACAGCTTGAGGCAATGAAGCTGGCATCGGCCGGGCGTTGAAGGAGGCATTTGACAAGGGCCTTCGCCGTGACGAGGTCTTCGTAACCACCAAGGCCCATCACAGATAAATGCCAAAACCAGATCAATACCGTGTAGGTACACGTTTCAAGTGTGTGTTCCGTTCGATGTAGCGTTGGCACATCGCATGCAGTGCCTGTGTACCTGTCCAGTCGATCTCGTGCAGCAACATCAGTTAGAGTCGTCCTGGAATCTGTTTGGTGTCTGCACGCATGCCAGCCTGCTGCAACGCTTGTCGTTGATCTGAGCCACATGGACCTTAGATAGCTGCCTTCCCGTCATTTGCAACTACAGTTCTCTGATGCTGTTGGTAATGTAGCTGTAGTGGTTTCTGTTCGCAGCCGTGATATTGAAGGGTGAAGGTCAAGGTTGATTCTCACCATGTTTAGCATGCAAAGCGATTTCGAACACTTGGCAGGCACACGGATCAACCAGACAAGAACCCACAAAGCCTTGTTGTGAAGAGTTCCTGTGATACCCTTCACCGGTGTTTATACTCGCCAACACAGATGAAGCGGTGCAACGGCACGTGCAGTCCCGGAGGTGTGGCCCACGAATTACGGCTTCGACAAGGCAATCAGCTCGGTGCAGGACTCGGCAAAGAAGCTGGGCCTCGAGGCCGTCGCAACACATACTCGAGAGTAAGGGAGTGTGACTGCGAGCGCGAACAATTTAGAAAGGTTAGAGAGATAGGGATAGAGAGATGGCGCCCTTAAATGCCGGCAGGCTTGATGCCAGTTGGGGCCTAACTTGCCCCTAATGCCTACAGGCGAAGAAGAAGAGAGAGCGGGAGAGGGCTCGCCGTAGCCACTTTGGCTCAAGCTTTGAAAGCAGCAGTCCCATTGCCGCTAAGCACTTTTTTCTAGCATGAGCCCACAGGAGCACCCCCGTGCTGATCTCAACCAGCGATGGCGGCCTCTGGCGAGCTCGGTGCAATCGCAAGGAGGTCGCGAGCGAGGTCAGGGCCAAGCCAACCCACATCTTCAGGCCTGAAGTTTGACTCGGTCGCAGACAAGTTGGCAAACTCCAACACCGGGTTGCACGGCTGGAGCGGTCCCACTGGATGTCTCTCGGTTGACGTTCGCTCAAAAGTTCACTGAGTACGGGGCGACCATAGCGCCGATCCTCCACAAGCCGACGGCGGTCGAGCGCTTCATCCAGGCGATGCCAGGGGACCCTCAAGGGCACGACGAACTGGACGTTGGGTTCGGTAGATTTGGCTCGATTGTCAGCGAGCTCTCGATGTTCACCGCGGACACCCGGTTCATAACGGTCATCCCGGTGTCAACTGGCGGGGAGGTGTCTACGCTGGAGTTGCCAAGGGCCATAAGGTTCGGGTCGTTTGAGGACCTGTCCGTGGTCGCGGCGTCAATCGGCGTGAAGGTGGTCACCGCCGAACAGTGGGCCCCATTCGGACGGGTGCTGTTCCGATGGCACCAGTCCGCCGAGAGCGTGAGGAAGGTCCTGCCGCCCAGTGACGTGCCGGGTGTCATCCTCTCGCGCCTGCCCCTGATGTTGGCACAGTACCTCAACACACGCCAGATGGCGGTCACGGCCGCAGAGGCGGCAGGTGACGATGCGACAGCCGAGGCGTCCGCAAAGCTGATCCGGGACTTGATCGCCTACCTCGACGCGGCGTCCCCAGGCTTGAAGGTGTTTGCTGTCGTGGAGCGAGACACGGGCAGGGTCAGGCCAGAGGACCTAACCACGTCGGGCGGCACGCCCGCGCTGTACGGTCGCACTCACCGACGGGAGCACACTGTACGTCAGGTCCAAGTCAGTTCTGACGGCCGCGCGTGATGAGGACTACGTGTTCCGTGACCTAGCCAGGACCTCGGGGAGGCTCCCACGGTCGATCGAGCTCGATAAGTTGATAAGGCCCACACAAAACATGTCCCCGAGGCCGACAACTGCATCCTCTTCGGCACCTCTGGTCTCAACCCGCAGCAGGTTAAGCACTTCTTGCTCCAACAGGATATCAAGCTAGCAATGGAAGAAGTCGCCAGCCAAAAGCAACTTCAGCGGGGAACGGGGGACAACCCCAAAGACGCAACGAGATCGATGACACAATCCTGCTCTACCTCCACTACAATGCCAGAAGCGGGGAGCAGCTCCGACAAAAAAGCCTCTGGGAAGAAGGAGACGAAGAAGGAGAAGAAGAAGGAGAAGAAAAAGGAGAGGAACAAGGCGAAGCTGGAGAAGCTTGGGAAAAAGGAAGAGCACGGGGGCGACCCCCAGAAAGCCGCACCAGCTCCTGCGCGAATGCCACCCACACTGCAAAGCTTGGACCTGAGGCTGCGACACCGGTGGGAGTGCAAGCTGGAATGGACGGGGAGAAGAATCCAATACTACCCCACCAGGGACAACTACATCGACCTCATTAAGGGGGGAAATCCTCACGGACCGCGAGTTCTTTGACTACGAGACCTACCTGCAGGACCTGAACCACCACCGTGCCCTACAACAACAAGGCCAAGAACTCCTTACACTCGTGCTACAGAATAAGAACAAGGCTGCGCCACAACTTCGTGACCACATAGACTGGGGCCCCCTGCGGGTCGACGATGCTGATACTCGTGCCTGCCTGGACGCTATCATCCTCGGCGAGGACGCCCCGCAGGATGACCCTGCCCCTCTTGCTGAGGAGATCACCCAGAGTACGACTAGGGCCTCTATGCCCGACTCGAAGGCCGGGGTGGATACCCCACAACTGCAGGAAGCTACAGTGACCAAGAACCGACATGGAGTTCCCCCTCCCGAATGTGCCCGTGTCAAAAATAGCCTTCTTCATGACCTACGAGATCCTCTTCCTCGTCGACCTCCCCGAATCCAACCTCCACAAGCAGATCATGGAGTACCGGTACGTAACCTGCGGCAAGAGCAGCACCAACAACCAAGGCCGGGGTCCACTAACCCGAACCATGACCGACGCGATCCTTCTCCTCGGCGACCTTCACGGCTCCAACCTCAACAGGCAGATCGGGGACTACCCG